GTTCTGGCTCTAATACTAACCTGATTTCTGAGTTTGGGCAAGTCACTCCATCTCTGTTGGACTCAGTTTGATCCTCTCTGAAATGTGGGTGATGGTCTGTGCTGTATTTCCTTTACAAGGCTCTAATGAACTAATGTAAACTTTGCAAGCTGGTGGTATACTGATCAAAGCCAGGCGACTTTGGGAAGCTGCACTAACTCCATTTGACCACAAGGAGGCATATTGGTACAGTTAAATGAGTCAATTGCTTGCCCTGCAAGAACAAGACTTTTAGTCTGGCTGCGTCTAGGTAGGTTCCCTGCAACACTGAGTGAGGGCTGTTAGGCTGGGGTGCTGCTATAAAGGAGGCCTGAATTCCTTCCTTTCCCCACAAAATACCTGGGGGTGAGCTTAGGTATTGTCATTGTTTCCCATTCCAAGCCTCCTTTATTAAGCTTGACTGAGATATGGACCTGCTCAAAGTTAGGGGATGATCTAGCTGACTTTCCCAGAATCTCCTCCTTTCCACAGGACGGTGCATGATTTATAGACATTCCATGTCATGAGCTTGTTTTGACCCGGCCTTAGTGGAGTGATGCAATAGAAGAGGTCCCAGAACAAGCCTGGGTTCTAGAAATGGTCTTGTCACTAACTCCTTGGGTGAATCATGCCCCTTCTCTGAACCTCATTTTCTCATCCCCAAAATAAGGAAGGGATTAGATTAACTGAGCTTTACAAGTCTGTTTCAACTCTGTTGTGTGCCTATAGTTTTATAATCATTCTTTTTCAAAACATTTGCCCAGGACATATTTATAGAGCATGATGGACATCTGGGATGTTTGCCACTCAGGTCCAAGAATCTTTGCACAGTGGGTGGGTGGTGCTGCCAAAATAGAAAGGATCCAATCAAACCCAACTCCTGTCATTCCTAGAGTGTTTTCTTCTTCTTCTTCTTCTTCTTCCTCCTCCTCCTCCTCCTCCTCTTCTTTTTTCAGAGCACTTTCCTCTCCATCCCACCCTTTTCTTACTCTTTCATTATTTACCCTCAGCACCAGAAAATCATGGGGTAGCCTTTGTGGAGTCAAACTGTGAAATTCCCAAAGTCAGGATTTATGTCTCCTCTTTCTTTATCTCTTTATAGACCATGTACTCCTCAAGGTCACTGCTTGGGTCTGTCTGTTCCTCCTCCTGTCTGCCTTCTAGTATAGCCTTGTAAGGGCAGGGGACCTTGTATAAGGGAAGGAGTGGGGCATGGTGTGTGGGGGTCATCTCCATGAAGACTGATTGACTTTTATCCTTTATGAATCCTAAATGAATGATAATAAATCCCATTTAAAAAATCCTAGTTAAAAATAAATAAATCCTATTTATTAACCTAAATAACCTGTGAGAGAATTGTTAATCCCCTTTACAGAGAGGGAAACTGAGGCAAAGAAGAAATGAAATGATTTATCCAAAATCACATATCAAGTTAGTGGCAATGCTAGGACTAGAACCCAGGTGTCCTGATTCCTAGTCCTGGGATTTTTTCTCTGGAACATGATCCCTTCTTTCTGGGTTATGTTGCTTAGAACTGAGCTGTTTGAGGTGGAACATTACCTCCATTGGCTTGGCCTTCAGTTGTGTCCGCCCTCGCCCCACCTCAATATACACAGATTTAAAGTGACCATCCCTCAATCTGTTGGGAAGACAGTTTTTTTGGAGGGGAGGACATAATTTGCAGGTGAAGCAAGTCCACGATTTTGTGGGGAAATGAATGAGTGAATATCCTCCTTCCCCTCATCCCCCCAGAGCTTTCTGAATAAGGAGCTTCCAATACAATGGCCGGCTGAGAGGTTTGGGGGTGACTCATCACTCCAATTCTCCCTCTATTCAGCCCACTATGCTCTGAGAGCCAATCAGCCAATTTGGGGAATGTTCTGTCCTCAGCTTGAGGACTGTTGTCTCATTGTTTCCCAGGACTGATCTGAATGATAGGCCTTGCTCTCCAGCTCCCCTCTCCTGCAAAGCCTCTCCCCCCAACCTTTCCTTTGTGTACTGCTGAAGGGTTCCGGTTAGGCCTCCAGCATCTGGTATGGTGGCAGACCCGAAGTGGGAGGAAACTCCGAGATCATGAAGGCTGCACTGGGCAAGAATCAACCCCACAGAATTTTAGGGTTGGAAGGGACCTCAGTAACCATGTTGTCCAACCCAGACCCCAAAGGAAGTCCCACTACAACCCACCCAGTAAGTGGTTATCCAGCTTCTGACTGAAGAACTCCAATGGAAGAGAAACCACTGCTTCCTCAGGAAATCCATACAACTTTTGGTCAGCTCTAATACATGGTGATATTAATAACCATAATAATAATCCGTGGTAATCCATAGGGCCTCTAGGTGGTGTCCTAGTGCACAAAGCACCAGGCCTGGAGTCAGGAAAGCTCATCTTCCTGAGTTCATATCTGGCCTCAGACACTTACTAGCTGTGTGACCCTGGGCAAGTCACTTAACCCAGTTTGCCTCAGTTTTCTTGTCTGTAAAATGAGCTGGAGAAGGAAATGGCAAACCACTCTAATATCTTTGCCAAGAAAACCCAAATAGGGTCATGAAGAGTCAGAAACCACTAGACAAAATCCATGGTAAAATTTTCCTGACACTAAGCTTAAATTTGTGTCTTTGAGATTTCTACTCACTGATCCTAGTTGTGCCTTTTGGGGGGACAAACCCAATGAGCCCATTCTCTCTTCCACATGGCAGCCTTTCAAATAGTTGAGCGTAGTGATCACGCTCCCCTGAGTCTTCTATTTCCCAGTTTAAAAAAAAAAAATCTCCCTTTTCTTCAACCCATCCTTGGATGATGTGGATTCAAGACTGGTTGCTCTCTTTCTGGACATTCTCTAGATGATCACTGTAGTGCCCAGAACTGAAGGGAAGAGCTCAGATACGGTCTGGCTCACACAGAGTACAGAGGAGTCACGGCCTCCTGATTCCCAGAAGCAAAGTTAAAGATCTCAATAGCTTTTTGGATTGCTATATCACACTGAAGGAGGGGAAAGGGAATAAGCTTTTATATAGCACCTACTATGTGCTAAGAGTTGTACAAATATTATCTCATTTGATCCTCACAACAACCCTGTGAGGTAGGTGCTGTTATTATTTCCATTTTACAGATGAGGCAACTGAGGCAGGCAGAAGTGAAATGGCTTGCCCAGGGTCACATAGATAGTAAATGTCTGAAGTAGGATATGAACTCTGGTTTTCCTGATTCCAGGCCTGGTGCTCTATCCACTGTACCACCTAGCTGCCTCATATTGAGCTGCTGACTCATATGAAGCTTGCAGTCCACTAAAACCCTGAGAGCTTTTTCTAATCATGCCTCCTCCCCACCCCACCCCTAATCTTATACTGGTGGAGCATATGTAAGATTCTCTCAAAGAATCATAGATTTAGAACTAGGACTTCAGAAATGATTCTGTCCATCCCTCTCATTGTACAGGCAAGGAAATAGAGACCCGGAACAGGGAGGGGAATTACCCAGGCCATACACAATAAATCAGGGCAGATCAGGGCTAGAACTCTAGGATCCTGACTCAGGCCCAGAGCTCTGTTCCTATGACAACCTGGTTCTCTGGATTTGAGGCCCATTTTCTTAGCTACAGTCAAACCCTCTTAGGACTGGAAGTCTAGGCTAAGGAAACTTTCCTAGGAAGTCAGAATATTCAGGAGAAAGGGCTTAAGAATCACAGCTGCTCAGAGCTGGGCCTTAGAGGTAGAGTGTGTATTCAGGTATCCCCTTTACACCATTGGTGACAAATGGTCCTCTGACCTTCACTCAAGCTGTCTCCAGTGATGGGAAATTCATTACTTCCTGAGTGAACCTGTTTCCCAGTTGGATTGCTCTGACTATTAATAAGCTCTTCTTTACATTGAGCTGAAATCTGCTTCCACATAACTTCTATCTTCTGGTCCCAGTTTTGTCCTCACAAAACAAAGCTAAATCCCTCTCCGTGTGACAACCTTTTAGACATCTGAAAACAGGGAGCAAGCCCTTTCTCTATCTCCTGTCTTTTCCAGGCTCCAAATCACTAATTCCCTTAACCAATGTTGGTATGGTGGGATTGAATCCCTTCTGGATACATCCATTTTTCAATTCTGACATTTCCAAGGCCTCATCACTTTTTATCTCAGCCTGGGCTCTCAGGGGATCTGCCCCTAGTGCCAAGAGCTGTTATGTTTCGTCTCTAGAGACATCCAAGGTGGAGTCAGTGGATAATGGAAGCCCACAGCCCAGACAAGTAGCAGTCCCAAGTACATGATGCAATCAAGGGACCTGGGGTTCCCCCCTGTCTTGTCCCATATCCCCAAGATCAACTTCCTGAAAGAGAAAGCCTGAGGGACGCTCCCGCCGATTTTTCCTGAGCACAGTGTTTGCCTTGAGCCCTTGTATTTTTCACGGGTGGGGAAAGGAGACAAGACAACTGAAGAAAGAAAGACAGAGGTCCTTGGCACACAGAATCCATAGGCAGGCTTGGTTCCCAACCCTTTGTTTCCTATGGGGGGATTATCTCAGGCCTTTTGGCCCCCAGAGTAAAAAAATGCTTCTGGTCTAAAGGCTTCATCCTTATTCCATCCCTAACCACTAGGCTCAAGTGGCCATGGGGACCCGAAGATATTTGAGAGTCAGAGAGACCTGGTTGAAAAAGCTATGTGATTATAGACAAGTCCCTTTCCCTCTCTGAGGCTCAGTTTCCCCATCTGTAAAATGGGGGATACTAATATTTGTCCCGCTTGTGTCATAGGAGTATTAGGGGAAAATGCTTTGTAAATTTAAAGGACCACAAATTGAAGACTTACTATTATTCAGCCATATATATTCCTTTTCTAAGATGGTTTTCTACTTGGGACAGGAGATAGAGTAGGGGAAAGACATAGGGTCTCTGAAAAGTTGTTGAACTGATCTTCTATTCCCAGCCTAGGATCCTTGGGCAGTGGACACCCCAGGCCTTGCCCATAGTGCCAGATGCAGCTGGTGCTAGTCATACCTGCTCATGGTGTTCTATGCCCATGCTGAGGGTGTTTATCAGGATGGCGATCATGATGCCCCGGTTGAAGTACTTGCTGTCCACAATTCGCTTGAGTTTGTTCCCGAAGGCTGCCCAGAGACAGGCCACCCCACTGCGATCTCCAGCCGCCTTCTTCCTGTGGGACCCTCCCCGCCGCCTTGCCCCGCTCTGGGGCTGGGCCTGCTGTGGCTGCTGGATGGGGTCTCGGTGGTCGCCATGCCGCAGGTCTTGTGTGAACTCATAAACGCCATTGGTGTCTGAGTCGTAGGTCTCCAACTCACTCAACTCAAACTCAGGATCCTCCAAGATGTTGGCACAATACGGACAGTTCTGCAGTTCACACGTCAGCATGGCTGCTTGGGGGCTGGGCAGGGAACAGGGCACATTCAGGCCTGACAGCCGGCTGGGAGCCCTGCAGAGGCCTACAGAGAGAAAAGCATGGCTGGGGTCAGCACTTTGCAAGGACACACGTACAGACGTATACAGGCAGTCATACACCTGGAAGTGGGTTGGGTAACCACAGAGGCTCAGGAAGCATCATCCCATCCCACAGCTCATACAGTGGCTAGGAAGTTCCATTCTGCAGTAGGTATTAGGGGCATAGAATCATGAGGTTTAGAGCTGGAAGGAGCCTTGGAAATCATCTAATCCAGTGGTATCAAACTCAGATAGAAACTGCTGCATGTTAACTTAGAAAACCACAGATTAACATTATCTATGCTGTATTATATTTTTATTCATTTTGTTAAACATTTCCCAACGACATTTTAATCTAGTTTGGGCAGCACCTGGGAGTTTTGCAGTCAGAGAATTTGACATCTCTGAGCCAGTCTAACATCTTCCTCTTCTTCAAGATGAGGAAACTGAGGCCTAGAAGGGGTAAGTGATTTATCTAAGGACAAAAGTAGATTCAAACCCAGGTAATTGAATCCCCGAGTCTGTGATATTTCCACCGGGCCACACTTTTGAGGCGAAAACCGAGAAGTCTTTAAGCCCCAACAATGGGCAGAATCCTTAAGTCCCATTCCTGTGTACCACAAAGGGCCTTTCCAATCATTCTGTCAAACGGAGAATAGGAACAGCTCTGAGAGACATGTAGGGCAGGAGTAATTAGCCCCACTGGACAAAGGAAGAAACTGCGTTCCTGACCGGGGACATGACCTCAGGCAACTGACTTATAAAATGAAGCAGATATTAATTTCTGAAAAGGCTTTTGTATGGGCCTGAGAGTCTGAATAATGGTTTGCTCAGTTGGTTGAAGAAGTGACTGTGCTTCCAGGAGGCGAGAAGAAACAAGACGGCGGGCGTTTTAGCGCTGCCCTGGCCACTGACTTTCTGTGTGACCTTGAACAATTCAATTCTCCACAAGCCTCTGTTTCCAAACTGTGAAATGCAGGGGCAGGGGAGCTGGAACAGATGGTCTCCAAGGTTCGTTTTTCACTCTAGGATTTTTTGATTAAGAGATTCTAATCTCATTCAATTCAACCAAAGTCTCTGGAGGCTTCGCTACATGCTGGGTACCATTCTTCAGTGACTCTCCACTTTGACCTTGCTTTCTTTCTCTCCATCTGCTACCAGCTCAACAGAAAATAAACACCTGGTTCGGCTGTCCCTGAGCCCGGCCCTCCGGCCTTGGGAACATCGTGTTCTTGTTTGTTTCTGTTCTGTTTCCTGGCTGGAGGACTCCTCTCCTTCCCTGGCAGCCTCCTCCTTCTCCCTTGGGTCCCTCTTGCTTTTGGTGGTTTCTCACCCTTTGTTCCTAGTCCTGACTAGGGGGCCCTGGAGGCCTGTCATCTCCCAGGGTTTTCATGTTCCAGAGGTTGGATCTGGGGATGACCAACTGTGTACCCGACACCTCTTTGGTGTCTCCCCTGATCCCAAAGCCTTCCGATTCTTCACTTTCCTCTTGGAAAAGGAGTCTTTATCAGTATTTACACCCCAGTGTGAATACAGGTCGCATACTCATTAAATGGTAGCTGGGGCATAGTGGAAAGAACCCTGAAGACTGAGGACTTGTGTGTAAAACCCAATACTGTTCCTTTTTTAGCTATAGGAATTTGGGCTAACTTGACCCATCAGGTCTTCAATTTTCTTATCTCTGAAATAACTCAATTGAACTCAAAGATCTCCATAGTCCTTCTAAGACTTATGATCTCTATGAGAGGTTGACCCTGTAAACCTGGGAAAAAAGTGTTTCACACATCCCCTATTTATGAAAATTATGGTCATTGACCTAACCGTTAGGCAAATCATGTATTCTTAGAATCATATAATTCTTTTTTTAAATTTTTATTTATTTATTTTTTTGAATCATATAATTCTTAAAGATGGATGGAACCTTGGACATCATTGGTTCTTAATAGATGGGGAAATTGAGACCTAGAAAGGTTGTCATAGGCCAAGGTCTTATAGCAAATAAATGGCAGAGCCTGATTCTCAGACATGGATTGATATTAAAATTAATTTATAATCTTCCCATAGGAAATGACCTTGAAAGGTCATCAAACCTAATCCCCTGCCTCTGAGCAGGATGTGATCAAAATGACACCAGATTTACCTAAGGATGTTAGAACATATAGAATCACAGCTAAAGAAACCCTTAGAGCCCATCAAATCTAATCACATCATTTTATGGCTGAGGAAACTGAGGTACAGAACACAGTTACTTGTCCAAGGTTACCTGGAAAATCAGTGGCAAAGTTGGGGCTATATCCAGATTTCCTGCCTTCCTACCCAATGTTCTGTTCAGTGATTCTGTTTTATAAATATTATGAAGCATCTGCTCTGCAGAAAACCTTGGGTCAAGTATGGAAGAAATTGAAATGCGCTGTCTCCCTTATCTGGAACTGACCTCCTCCCTCACAGGAACTTGTCCCAAATATGGCATCATCACTGCCGGCAGGCCACTCTCCCTTAGTCCTAATAAAGGACTCACACCCTTCCTCTAGGGAGAGTATAGATTGTAGGATCATTGGTTCACAGACTTTACCAGCTGGAAGGCACCTTAGAGAGTCTGCCTGGAATGTGGTAAAGTAAGCACATAATAAATGCTTGTTGACTGCCTGATATTTAGACCAATCTCTTAATTGTACAGATGAAACCTGCCAGATCTCACATTCCTGAGAGGTTGAGGTTGGGAACACATCAAAGAGATACCTGCATGAAGCATCTCTCAGGGAGAGGGGGGAGAAAAAAGAGCCTTTGTAAAGATGGGATAGCTAGGTGGCGCCATAGTGCACAGAGTGCCTGGCCTGGAGTCAGGAAGATTCATCTTCTCGAGTTCAAATCTGGCCTCAGACACTTACTAGTTGTGTGACCTTGGGCAAGTTACTTCACGCTGTTTGCCTCAGTTTCCTCATCTGTAAAATGAACTGGAGAAGGAAATGGCAAACCATTCCCTTATCTTTGCCAAGAAAACCCCAAAGGGGGTGAGGAAGAGTCAGACACAACTGAAATGACTCAGCAGACAGCCAGGATGGAGGCCTGGCTACCTAAGGTTGGAGGGGTGGTGGTGCTTCTTGCTTCTCTTCTTGGTCCATCTCATCCATCACTGCAATAACTCATTGAGATAGGGCAGGGTTTTTCATCCTCCCTCCTTCCCATTCCCCTCCCCCTTCCCCTCATCCCCCCTATCTAGCTGTCAGTTCTCACTCCCTCTTCAGTTTTCCTTGTATCCTACTGGAGCTAGAAAGGCACCTTAAGGGACTTTCAGTTCAACCCCTTCTTTTGACACATGAGAAAAACCAAATCCCAGAGAAGCAAAGCAGTTTGGACCAAGATCTGGCAGCTAGTAAAGGACAGAGCCAGAATCTGAACACTCTTATCTGAGCCTCCCTCCCACCGCAGCCCTCTTTAGAATGTCAGCTCCTTGAGGGCAGGAACCATGAAGTTTTTCCCTTTTTATCTCTAGTGCCTAGCACGGCTCCCTGCACACAGCAGACTTAATAAATGTTTGTTGACTTGCTCAATAATCCCCATTTGACAGGTGAGAAAACTGAGGCCCAGAGAGGGGAAAATGACTTAGGTACACAGCGAGTGAGAAGCAGAGCTGGGACCACAACCCAGCTCCCTCAGTTCATTGTTGGGAAGACAGTACTGGGAAAGTGTGGCACAGCAGAAAGACTGTTGAAATGTCAGTAAGAGGATCTGTGTTTGAATGTGATCTCTGCCACCCACTGCCTGTGTCACTTTTGGCCAGACACTGTACAGCCTCAGTTTCCTCATCTGCAAAAGGAGAGGGCTGGATTTGATGGCCGCCAAGGTCCCTTCCAGCTCTAAATGTATGAGCCTATGATGCTATAATCTCCCGGCTCTGGGCTCTCCTTCATATGCCATGAATCCCCAGAGCTGAAGGCATCCCCCCTTTCCTTACCATGTTCCCCAACCAAGTGTTGCAGCTTCCCATAGGCGTCAGCACTCAAACTCACAGAGCTGTTGTTCACTACAGGGACAGGCGGCCCACTGCCCTTCTTCCCCACAGGACCCAGAGCCAAATTACCCTTGCCCCCTGAAGGTGAAGGCAGGATGGTGGGGTAGTTCATGCCACCGAGTCCGGTGGCCAGTTTGAGCCCTGCGGCAGCCCGGGACACTCGGCTGCCCTGATCTTGGGGGGCTTCCACGTGGCAATCAGCGTGGTAGATGCTGTGAACTGACTCAGCATCATGAGGTGGGGATGGGAGTCCCTGTGGGCCAGGGGACGGGGGAGGCGGCAGCATGAGCCGGGTGCCGGGCTTCCCCGCTCTAGGCTCCGTGTCCCCGCGGACCTCAGGGCTACCGCAGGGGCCCCTAGGGCTCCCGTTGCTGATGTGGTAGTGATGATGGTGGTGGTGGTGATGGTGGTGAATCAGGTGGTGGATGGAGGGGACCCGTTTGCGACCACGGCGCCCGACCCCCTGTCCGTGGAGGGCGCCGTTGGGGTTGACCTTCTCCCGGCGCTTCTTCTGCCAAGTGGCGTATAGCCTGAGGGTCCGCCGCTTCACTTTGCGGAAGATGTGGCCGATGTATTTGAGGAGCTCCTCGTAACAGCTGCCTGGCTCCGAGAAGCTGGCGATGGTGCTGTCGTTGGACAGGTAGCGGGCCCGCTGCTCCTGCATCAGCTGGTTCTCACGCTGCTTCGTTTCTGAAAACTGCGTGGCGATCACCACCAGGCACAGGTTGATCATGAAGAAAGAGCCCACCTGCCCAAGAAAGGACAAGAGAAAGAGGCGGTCAGTCTGACGGGGAAGTGAGCGCAATGCACACTAGAGCTCACTACCTCTGTGGACAGCCCCAACGCCTCGTTGTACCGAAGAGGAAATGGACCCATAGAGGGAACAGAGGTGGGGCTTAGAATGAAAACTCAGACCATCTGACGACAATGCTCTTTCTATTACGCCGCACTAACTTTTGGGGCCTCAGTTTCCTCGGTTGTAAAGTGAAAGAGTGGACTTAGATGACCTCTGATGCCCCTTCTAGCACCAAACCTGTGGTCCTGTGGAACTTGGGCTAAACTTCAAGGTCCATCATAACTGCCACCTCTTCCAGGAAGCCTGACAATTCATCCCACAAAGGAATGATCTCCCCTTTCTTGGACCTCCCGTAGCACTGGTGTACTTCTTTTGTACTGTGGTGATATGTAAAGATGTCTTCTCTTCCATCCCCGACCCCAAACCCGTTCCCCATGATACTGTGGATCCATTAAGGACAAGGGCTATATTCTATCTTTACTGTTTCTTTGCCCTGAGTACAATCCTTAGCACAACAGGGCTGTTATTAATATTAATAAATATTTGTAAATTGAAATCTCCCTATGTTGAAAGCCCTGCACTGCTCTCTGCTTAGTTATGTTGCTGGGGAGACAAGAAGAAGAGACTTCATTCTCACAAATCCACTATGAGGTAGGTGCTATTACTATTCCCATTTTACAGATAAAGAAACTGAGGCAGTTTAAATGAGTTACTCTCAGTCATGAAGTTAAGTGTCTGAGGCTGGATGTGAACCCAGGTCTGCCTGACTCCAAATCTAGCACTTTATCCATTAAGTGTATGAAGAGGAAAGAGGCCAGTGATGCCCCCTGAACAACAACCCTTAGGTGGATGGTCCAGGTGAACCAGTTTCAATCTCTAAGATGCCTTCTGAAGATAACATTCTTGGAGTCTAGAGTAGTAAAAGGAAACTAAAGCATGACATTATGGAAAGAGCACTGAATTTGGAGTCAGAACTCCAACCCAACTACTTACTACCCTTGTAATCCTGGGCAAGTAACGTCTTCTTTCTTTGCCTCAGTTTCCCCATCTGTAAAGTGACAGGTTGGACCAGGTGACCTCCAGTGTTCTTCTAACATTCTTTGTTCTAAGGTCTCTTCCAAGCTCTACATCCAGTCAATGTGAATTATTACTATTATGATGCCATAAGTTCCAAGTAAATGATCTGGACCAGTGGTGTCAAACTCAAATAGCAACAGATCCTTGTGGCAGCATGTTGACTTAGAAAACCACAAATTAACATTATCTATATTGTATTGCATTTTTATTTATTTTGTTAGACATTTCCCAATTACATTTTAATCTGGTTCAGGCTGCAAGTTTGATTACTCTGGCCTGGACGCCAAGTACTGTGGGAGTTTAGAGGAGGAGAAGGTCAAGAATGGGCTAGAAAAGTTGGGGAAGATTTTCTGAAGGTGGGGGTTAGCAGCTTCCCAAGGCACAGCAGTGACATGAGGCATCCTCCACTCTAGGGCCAAGGGGTCTGCCTATCCAGGTCCTAGGGATTTATTATATTGTCTAGTCTGTGTATCATTCAGGTAGGCATTTCTATTCTTTCTTAGACTTGCTACCTCTGGACTTTTTCTCTGGTTTCCTCCAGGTTATCTTCCAAACTTTACCATCATTTAAAGCCTAACTTCTATGGGAGGCATCCTTGACTACTCAATGCCTCACATCCTCTTCTTCCTCTGGGCTCCAATAGTGTTGGAAGCTGAATTATACTATTCAGCACTTGATTGTTGACTGTCGGCTCTCTGTACAGTATGTGAGTTATGGCTCCCCTCCATGTATGAGCTCCCAGAGATCAGAGCCCAGATCAGTTCCTTCTGTTTCCCCATCCCAAGTGTTTAACTTCCTTAGGGTCAGGGTCTTGATCTGTATCCTCATCTATTTCCCCTAGACAATGAGATTCCCAGGGTGGAGGCTGGCTGGGAACATAGGAGTAGAGGTGGTTTGGCAGGGAGAGGAGAGAGCTCAGTAAGTGCTTGTTCAATTAAATGGAAATTCACAGAACCTCAGAGTTGGAAAGGGATGTCAGCCACCATTGAGCACAACCCATACCTTAACAAAAATCCACTCTGAAGCATAATTGACAAGTGATCATCTGGCCTTTGTAGAACACATCAATGAAAGGGAACCCATTACCTTCCAATGAGTCCCAACTCACTTTTAGATAGCTTTAATTTCTAGGGACTTTTTTTTGTTACATCAAGTAATATGTCTTTTGGTAACTTAGACAAGTTACCCTTTTGAAAAATGAGGACTACTTACCCACTGGGGGGAAATCAATCAAGAGTCAAGTGAAAGTTTAAAAAAAGCTACTAAATTTATATTTTGTTTTGAAGAAGAAAGACATAATTAAGATTCATTTGATTTTTAAATTAAGAACTAGAATATGAATGTTTGTTTCCCAAATGAAACTGACATCATGAGCCCCTCCCAGTTCCATTCTATATTGAGTAACAAGGAGGTAGATGAGGAACAGGTATGGAGAGAGTACAGAGAGAAGGTAGATAAATAGAGAAATAGCCACAGAAAGGGCAAAAGGTATACTTAAATGGAGAAAGAGACAGGACCACTCAGCATGTTCTGAGACACTAGGGACCTACTCTTGTCAATACCCTGTTGTTTACTTCAATGTTATCACTTGTTATGGCCACCATTTGAAATGCTAACTGCTGCTTATAGCTCTTCAACTTCACTTTATCCTTAGGACCAGAGACGTTCTATTTTTGTGTGATAAAGTCATAATATGCTGAAGAAAGCAAATAAGGGGGTGGTTCTGTCATTTTCCAGGCTGAAGTGGTCACAGCAATATCACTGTAGGTTAACTAAAATCAAAACAGGGGAGGGTTGGATCTATCTGACATTGGACAGAGTTTTTCTACCTCTATCTTACCAGGTAATGCCGTGGTCTTTATGGAGAACCAGGTCCCTGTTGCTTCTAGTGGGTTCTTGGAATAAATCCAAGTCTTGGCCCAATGGGACTCATGGTTTTAATCCCTGAACTTGCCACTGGGCTGGGGGGGGGCGGTTGGTCGGAATAGCATGTTTGATATCAGGGCACATAACCACAACTCATACTTACGATTATTAGTAATATAAAATATATAAAATTATAAAAAGAATGTGCATCCATGACATAATACATGATGTCAACCCAGCCTTCCAGGGTTATAACCTAAGGGAGAGAGAGGAGAGAAGTGATAGTTACCCAGAGAGCAAATCTGGCCAAGAGAATATAACTTGTCTGACCCTTGGCCTCCCCTTCTCCCATCCAGCCCCATCCTCCCACAATTCTGACGTATCTCCATAGCTTTTTTAATTTGGGTTTTTCTTTCCCTTATTTGGCCCAACATTGTAGTCAGATACGGCTCTGAAAGAATTGTGGTTCATCTACAGCCAACTATAACCATCTCCAGGAAGTACTGGGCCCTGAGTTGCTCCTGGGGTTATGGCACTGGAGTGGTCCCTAAGTGGGAATGAGGTCTGGGGAACTATACTATATATTATATCACACTTATATTGAACTTTTCATCTAGTACCTACTTCTACCTTCCTTCAGGGGTCTTTTTCACACAAACCAATGTTAAACCATCTCTTTCTAATCCTGTAATTGATTTTTTGAACTCAAGGGTAGAAATTCACATTGATTCTTTTCAAATTCACCTTGTTGGTTTTAGCTCATCCTCGACGTCTGAAAAGATCTTTCTAGATTCTGATGACAGCTCTATTTCCTTAATAAGCCAAAGGGCAGGGAATAACCTAGGTGAAGGAAAAGTAGGGAGAGGAGATCCTGGCTCCTGCCTTGGTATTACCTGAGTTATTGATGCAAAGCTCCCTTGGATATGGGGACATGGTTACTTTAGGAAATGTAGCCTCAGCCAATCCTGCTGCTTTACCCATGAGGCTTTTTTGAGATCAGGAAAATCACAGAGTGGGAAGAAATCTTAGAGGCCCTATAATCCAATCCCTTTTACCTAGACAGGAAAACCCCTCTCTACCACCCTGGGTCATCCAATCCCTGCTTGGACTGTTCCAGTGCTAGACCTCTCAAGGTAGCCTCTTCTGTTTGCAAAGTCAGCCTAGGAAGGAGAAAGAGTAGTGCATTTGGATTCCAGAAACCTTAGTTCAAATCTCAGCTCTGTAACTGAAAGCTACAGTAAGTAAGTAAGCTACTGTAAGCAGTAAGTAGCTTAAGCAAGTCACTTCTTTCTGAGCCTCAGTTTTCTTAACTGTACAATAGGAATAATCATACTTGTGCTATTTGCTTCAAAGGGCTACGAAGAATGTATTTTTGTAAAGCATAATAGAAATAGAAGCTGAATTTTTTTTAACCACTTAGATTTTTAGGAAGTCCTTTTTTTGTTTGAATCAGATTCTATTTCCTTCTACCCTGGTCCCATCTGGGCTACCAGAATTGGAGGCTACATCACTGCCCAGTGCTCACAGCCAACCAAGACAGAGTTTTGAGAAAGGGAGCCAAAACGCCCACACTCAGCCTTCCTCTATAAACCCTTTCTCAAAAATTATTCTCATGAAAATCTGAATTTCCCTTATCATGGCTAAGTTATTTGAGGCAGAGAGAATAAATTGCTTTGGCTTAAGCATGATATTATTATTACTATTGTTAATAATCTTATTGATAATATTATCTGTAATCCCGTGAGTGGGCACCCAGGTGACATTTCTTAATAGAGACAGAGAACGTTAGAGCCAGAAGTGTTTTAATCCAATGCTCTCATCTTATAGGTGAGCATCCTAAGGTCTGGAGAGGCCAAGAGATTTGCCCAAGGCCACATAGTTTGTAGGTAGCTTTGGTTTTCTGTCTTTAAGCCTAGTGTTCTTACCACTACATCGCACTGTCTCAGGATTTCTGTAAACTTCAATGTCAATCATAGGACCAGAGATGAAGAGTTGGAAAGGCTTTTCAAGACCATTTGGGTCCAATTTCCCTCGTTTCACAGATGAAACTGAAAGGTTAAGTTTGCCAGGACCATACTACTATTAAGTATTGGAGGTGGGATTTTAACTTGGGTCTTTCTGACTCCAAGCCCATTGATATGGACTCCATAGATAAAGTTACAATGTGTGAGTTCTCCCTAGACTCTCTGAGCAGCAGCTAAGAAAGGGAAGCCTCTTTGGCCTTTATAAGGCTCTCAGGAAAGCTTCCCCAGGAACAATACAAATCCATGGGCATGCATGTGAACTGGCATGGACACAGTCCCCCTAGCCTATGCCCAACTCAGCCACCTGGAAGAGACACCCTTCTGCTCCTCACCACATCACAATCCCTTTCCTTCCTCCTCTCCAGGCCTCAGCATGAGTATTTTTGTTTTTGGCTCACACAGGCAGCTGCTCTGTGGTCTTTGGGAAACTTGGAATCCCGTATCAATTCAGGGATGGTTTGGAGGACAAGTCCTCTATCGTTCATGTTATAACCTCTAATTACTGCTGTGTCAAATGGCCTCAGAATTCACGTGATAAAAGGCGAGACAACCCTCCCCGAACTTCCCAATTAATTTCTTGGCTTCTTTCTGCATCTGTCCACATAAGCTAATGAGTATGCGCCATTTGCTATGGGATAAGATGGAGCTGGCAGCAGAGACATGCCCTTGTCTGCTGCCCAAGAAGTACGCTATATTCAATGCCACCTTCAAAGTGCCTGGTGACTCACTCTTTCCCTGTCACAGCCATACTTTATAAGTGGCTCGGTATAGGAGGTGTAATGAGGCGGTGGGAAGGGCATGGTGGATCTGGGCTTAGAAAATCTGGATTCCAACCCTGACTGCCATTAATTAGCTATGTGGTCTGGGCTAAGTCCCTTCCTTTCTCTGGTTCCTCAGTTTCCTCCTCTGTAAAAAAGTAGGATTGGATAAAATGATTTCTAAGGTTCTCTTTCTAGTTCTAAAATCCCATTTTCTTTTGAACTCTTAGCAGCTTATCCAGCTGTTTCTGAAGTCACAGGAACCCTCCCCTCCCCCCCACCAAATCTCTTGGGTGAAACACCAGGAGTGGCTCAAGCAATATTCCCCCTTGGGTGTGAGATAAATAGTTTAGAGCCAGATTGTGGGGGTTTGTCAATATGCCTACATCCTTCCAGGTCTTAGAGGTCACCAGCAGTCACCAGTGTCTACTCTAATTTCTAGCCTCTGTTGACACTGATGCCCAGAAAACCTGAATATGTGCTAAAGAATTTGCATCAGCACACATCCTGTACTCCATTCATTGCCAGAATCAAGTCCTTAGAGAGCATTTAGCCCAACACCTCATTTTAAAGATGAACTATCTCATCTCTCTGGCTCCATAGCCCAGAACCTCTTGAACATCTTCATCTTTTCTCTCATTTACTCCAGTCTCCACGGAGGAGGAGGAAGATGAGGAAGTCTTTCTCCTTGCCAAGATTAGCTCTTTTACTTGTGCCCTTGATCCTATCCTCTTCCATATCCTCTAGGAATTTGCTCCATTTTCTTCTTCTTTATTTCTTCCTTCCTTCCTTCCTTCCTTCCTTCCTTCCTTCCTTCCTTCCTTCCTTCCTTCCTTCCTTCCTTCCTTCCTTCCTTCCTTCCTTCCTTCCTT